CCCAGCGCCCCGTGCTGCTGCGGAGCCTGCTGCTCCTGGCCGTGCTGGCCGCTGGCTACGGCTACTTCACTCTCCTGATTGGCGACACGCGGACGCGCCTGGCACGCCTGGGGCTCTTCTGCAGCGTCTTCACCATCAGCATGTACCTCTCGCCACTGGCTGATCTGGTGTGTGGGGCTGGGCGAAGGCCTGCGGTGACACCAGGGATGTCCAGCCCTGCACCAGCCTGACATTTGCTTCTGCAGGCCAAGATTGTCCAGAGCAAGTCGACACGCTGCCTGTCCTTCCCCCTGACTGTCACCACCTTCCTGGCCTCCACCAGCTGGACACTCTACGGCCTACAGCTCCGTGACCCCTACATCATGGTGGGTTGGGGCAGTGGGTGGCCAAGGGATGCTCTCCTATCCCATCCCATCCCGTCCCGTCCCGTCCCGTGTCCCCACTGTGGCATTCAGCTGAGCAGCTGGCAGCCAGCCGACCCCCGTCCAGCATCATGTGTGTCACACAGCAGAGCCCGTGACTAGGCTCAGTGAGATGAGTATTGATTTTAATTAATTAGATGGTATAAGGCCAATAAATCTCCCCCGGCAACGCAGGGCTGGTGGAGCAGCGGTGGGGGAGGGCAGCAGCGCCGCTGTGAGCCGGGTAGATCCGCTCCCCCACCATGTCCCTCCCGCAGGTCCCGAATGTGCCGGGGATCATCACCAGCGTCGTGCGGTTCTGGCTCTTCTGGCGGTACCCACCGGGCCAGGACAAGCCCTACAGACCCCTGCACGCCTGATGGGGCCCTGCTGGCCCCCATGTGCTGGCAGATCGATGAAGGATTCCTCCCAACGCTCGCCAGTCTGCTCCGGCGTGGACTGGCCCCAGCCACTGAGCCTCGAGTGCCACCGCGGCGCCGCTGTGCCCCTCGGCCGAGGGCCACCTGCTCCTGGCAGGACCAGGGCCCCGGGAGGGCACCTCCTGCCTCTGACGCCATCGTTCTCCCTTACCGGCGTCCCTCCAGCCCTTCGTCCCTCGGTGATGGTTGGGTCAGTCTCAGTGATGCCTTCGGGGTGCCGGGAGCCCCCCATCCCATCCCTGGGCATGCCACATGTCCCTGGGGACCCCGGACAGTCTTCTATGCCCGCGACTCTGCCCCGGCGCCAGGCTGGGGCTGCCGGGAATCTACATCTCTTTTTGTACAAATTTAAGTGCCTTTTAATAAATCAAAGACTCTTCCCAGAGTCTGGTTGTTGTCCCCTCCCTCCTGGCTGGGGGATGAGTGGGATGGCTCTTGTCCCCACAGCTGCTTTGTCCCCAGGGTGGTGGTGGTGGTTCATCCTGGCACCCTGTGGGCTCTGGCAAATCCCCCTCCAGCAGCACCCACCTTCCAGCAGCAACACATCAGCCTTGGACCCAGGAAAGGAACGGGCACAGGTCTGGGTTGGGGCAGGGAGGAGGCGCTGAGGAAGGCAGTGCTGCCTGGGGAGGCCGCTCTGACCCCCCTCCCAACCCCGAGCAGCAGCCTGGGGACACCGGTCGTAACAGGGAAAGAAAACTCTGTTCTGTTCTTGCTACTGGCCATCACGCTGGCAAACTTACAATCAATTAAAATCCTCACTAAAACCATGATGATCGAGCGTGCACAAATCAAGCAGCCGTTGGCATCAACCCAAGCTCGATTAACAAATTAACAATGATCTGGAATGAAGTTATCAGGCAAGCACATCAGCAGAGGGACAGGAGCCTGTTTGGGTGACCAAATTATGCAACAGATGACGAAGCCTTGTGAAAGGGGCAGGAGACCCCCGCCCCATCCCAGAGCCCCTTCCTGCATCTCCGTAGGCGCGGGCAGGTCCTCCAGCCTGGATGACGCAGGCCGGATTAAGGAAGCAGTGACGAGGCCTTTGGCAGAGTCTGCGCCAAGGCTCAGACACTCGTTTACACCTTGCGACGTGGCCTAGGAAAAATCGATAAGGAGGTGAGCGGCAGGAACGGGGCTGAGCCGAGAGCGGTGGCTGGAGGGGAAGCCGAGCTGCTGCGGCGTGGCTGCTGGGCTCACCCTGCGTGCTCCATCTTGCCGCCGCCGCGGAGCCAGCGCTCCCCTCGCCCGCATGGGCTGTGTTTGCAGGTGTCTCTCCCCCAGGGACTCGCCCCGGGGCCGTACCCGCTCCCCGAGCCACAGAAGCCCCATTTCCCAGTGGGGAGGAGCCCCCATTCCCCTCCTCCTCCAGCATCGGGGTGCAGCACCCAGCCTGGGTGAAGAACTGACCACCTTGGGAAAGGACAGCTTTCCCTGCTGACGCACCAGGCAGAAACTTGGCTGCTGACCGGTCGCTCCAGCTGGCATGTGCCGCGAGCGGCTGGTGGGAGCGGCCACAATGTGGCCCCACGCACGAGGCTGGAGGCGAGCGGAGAATCTCCTGGGGACGCCAGCGCCTGCAGCGGGCACGTGTCCGTGCAGGGAGAAGCTGCCGCCGTGCTGCTGCCTGCCGAGCTGCTGGAGGGCTGTGAGTAGCTCCTGGATGGCCAGCAGTAGCCTGCAGAGAGCTGTAAGTAGCCCACGGAGGGCTGCTGTCCTCGCTCTGCACCAAGTTGCGGTCCTTGCCCCAGAGTCACGGCTTTGCCAAATCTGGGGCGATGTCACCCCACAAACAGACCCGCACACAGTCAAGAGGCCACGGGAGCTGCCCACCCTGGTCTGAGCTGCCATTGTTGCTCAGGAAACAGCTAATTAGTTGCTCCTGCTAATTAGCCCGAGTCCTCCCTCATGGTACCAACTGCTCCTTTTTGCAGAAGGATGCGCAGCCGATAATTAAAAACAAGAAAGTCCTTTGGCTGGTATGCGAAGAAGCCGGGGAGGCTGCCAGGAAGGCAGGCCCCAGCATGCGTCACCACCAGCCGCGCAGCTCTTCCAGCAGGGCCGGCAGCGCGGGTCTCGGGCCCCCCCGGACAGAGGGGCACCCCTGGACAGAGGCCTGCCAGCCCCCCCACTGCTGCAGGGTGCTCGTCCCCCTTCCTCGAGAAGCCCAGCGTGAAGGTGGCGGCAGAGGAGCGGCAGCTGCAGCCGCTGTGCGGGCAGGAGCGAGGAGCAGCCCCCCGGCATGGGCTGAGCCGCCCTGGCAGGCCGGGGGAGACCACAGGCTCTGGGCACTCTGCATTTTAAAGGCTGTGCCGCCTGCTCCACCCAGGCAGTGTCTCTCCTCCTTCCCCTGGAAATGGGCCAGCAGGACTGGGATGAGTCTTCCCCAGCTCCCACCTGACGGTGCGAACCACATCAGAAGGGCAGGCGGGAATGCACTCTGCCCGCAGTGCTACCCAGCGCCGCGGGCCTTCGGGGCAAGGCCTGATCCTGCCCTCGACACCTCACAGCCCTGCCTCTAGAGCCAAGCTCCCAGAAGTTTGGAGAGGGAGAGGCTGCGCTGGGCTGGGGCAGCCTCCCTGGAGCCTCTGTAGGGCAGTGGGAGGGCTGAGAGGGGCCCATGTGGAGACTCCTCCTCCGTGTGGAGCTCCCTGAACACCAGCCTGACGCTGGGGAGACATCACAGAATCCCAGACTCATCTGGGTTGGAAAAGCCCCTGAAGCTCCTCCAGCCCAACCATGACCCTCCCCCTGACCCTTCCCAACTCCCCCAGATCCCTCAGCGCTGGCTCAGCCCGACTCTCCAACCCCTCCAGGGATCCCGGGGACTCCCCCCTGCCCTGGGCAGCCCATTCCAACGCCCAACAGCCCCTTCTGCACAGAAATCCTTCCTCAGAGCCAGCCTGACCCTGCCCGGGGCAGCTGGAGGCCATTCCCTCGGGGCCTGGCGCTGGGGCCTTGGCTCCAGAGACTCATCCTCCCTCTCTGCCCCCTCCTGGCAGGGAGTTGCAGAGGGCCAGGAGGTCTCCCCTCAGCCTCCTC